TATACACCACAGTTACCAGGTGATATTTGACTAGATGTTAACAGATGATATTGAATGGAATATAATACATGTACCTATACACTACAGTTACCAGGTAACTAAATGGAGTATAAATGGAGTAAATGGTTGGAGTGGATGTCAGTTGCAAAGGTCAACTGTTACAGAGCTTGAGCAGTGTTAATTTAAATAACATTTCAGAATCCTAAATATTTTATGAGATGAAGTGTGGATATCAGATGTCCATTAGTGTCATAGCTCAGCTGAGACAATCACAAAGTACCATCTGGCTAATTCTCTACCACAAGTTTACCATAAATCAGTCAAAATGTCCAAGTACATAAACATCATGTTAACACTGAAACCTTTTCACTACTTCTCTATGGTAGTCCATATTTTAAGTACCTGTGAAATAAATGCCCACCTACATACAAATTTATGTTTTGGGTTTCTGCTGCCCTGAATTGGACATTTATAAAAAAAATAAAAAATAAACTAAATAGTAATCAACTTCAAAATTGAAAAAAAGATTCTGAGTTGTAGCCTTCCTGTTGTAATAGACTGGTTCCAGGTTTCTGATTTCTTCTGAAGCGAAACTGAATCATCAAATGTCAGACAGAGGGGGGCAGGGGGGAATACCATGCACTGAATACCATAAAAGCTCTTAGTATGAGAATAAGATGAAAATCATGATTTTGTTGTCTGGGAATTATTAAAATATGTGAAGATTAATTAAATATGGTGTAAAAATGTCTGTCATATTATTTCCTGGGGCAAAACTTTACTAAATTGGTCTTCATACGGCATTATACTGCATACCTATGCACAGTCAATATCCTAATCACTAATCTAAGATAGCTGCCTACCAAGTGGCATTCGTTGGCAGGTGAAATTAAAAACTGATTACAAAAATAAAGTTCAGTAACATTTTTAACAAATCAAATTTCCATCTACCGAATGTGTGTTACAATATTAGACAATATCAACAAAAGCATTTATGCCATAGGTAAATTGATTTAAGTTAATGTTTTGGTGGAGTCGTTATGGCTCTATTAAATGCATGCATGTGTTACCGTAGTTACCTGTATGAAGGTAGGTACCAGCGATCACACAGTGATCGTAACAAGACAATTCCTACTGAATCAAAATGAATCAAACATTTAATTGAACAAACTTTGTTCTTCTTCTATTTCTCTTACCATAGATGAGTTTCATGTTTATTTATATGGATCAAAGAGCAAACTCAAAACACACCATTGTAAGCCATGATGACAGGTTGCGAAATTAATACATGCAAAAATGGTCTCCTGTAAATGAATCAAGTTGTTACCTTATTAATAATACCTAAATAGTGGAAGTTTATTTTAGATTATTTAAAAGTTCATAGACAATAAATTGGAATCTGACGTGTTTTCCAGAACCGTGTTACAGTCTCACTACCATGTCTATGATGAGCAGCAATGTACCCTGGTGACTGACATCACCAGCGAAATACTTATATGCAAATAAGGGCTAATGGGGAGTCTTGTTGTGACATGCAATAAATGACTGGTAGTAGACAGCAACTATAAAACCCATTTTTTTTTTTATAAAAATATTTATTTTGTGCTCAGATATATAAACTGTGATAATTTTAACATGATTGATTTTTGACATCAGGGTAGCAAGCATTTCACAGGCACTTTAACATTATTGTATTTACCTACAGGCTAAATGTGAGTTGTGAAAGTAAGAAAATATTTTTAAAGAAATAGTGATACATGTGCTTATAGTACAATTTGTTATTCTATGAGTGAAGAGTGAATGACTTAATAAAACTAATTAACAGCCCACAAGGAATCAGTGATACCGTGTGTCTTGAATGATAAAGTTTGAAAAGAAAAAGAGAAATCCATGTTAGGAATACTACACTCAGTCACTGAAATAAAATCAATTTTCAATAATATTTAATTTCACTATTTTTATTTGATTATATTTATTGGATTGTAAATTCACTGAAACAATGATATATTTTGTAATTTCATAAACATATGAATTTAATTTATAGGATTTCAGAGTGAGAATAACCAAACTAAAACCTAGTGAATAGTATATGTAGCATTTACTGCACACATTACATACCCATAGGATTAAGAAAAAAATTCACTTTGTGATTGAACTATGTTGTTTTTAAATTCCCATTTCAATTTGTTAAGATGTTAAATACGTTGGTGTATATATTAAACATTTGCAGTTTATATTTTTTATTTATATTTGAGAGCCCAGTAATGTTTTTTTTTTTTTTTAGAATAGCATTTGACTATGTTCTATTCAAAATGAATAATGTCAATAAAGTTATTATATTATATAAATAAAGCTTACAACACTAGACGGTTTCCATGGAGATAAATACCTTTTATAGATTTTCTAATTAACATAACAAAATTCATAATAAATGTGGCTCAGAGTAAGTATTGTATCTTTGTAAGTAGTAAAAGCTAGTTATCATTACTGAACTTTCTCAAAGCACTAAAATGCATCCTTCATAAGAACACCCGTAATACATCAATAATTAATCTAACAAATCAATTTGAATCATATGACAGCAAAAAGCTTAAATTAATTAAAAGTTTCCGGTCATTAATTACAACATTTATTATCAGACAATTAATGAACAAGTAATAAGAGAAAGTAGGTCACTTAACATCATGGTAGAGATTGCATGTGGCAAAAGGAAAGGTAACAGAACTAATTAAATAAGTCAATACAGTTCAATAGCAGAGTTAGTTTGTCATAACAACAAGAAAAACATAACAATTGTGACCCTATGTGCACCATTCACAGTCATTAGATACATGTAGTGGCAGTCATTAGAATGCAGCAAGCTATCACTTAGCAGTGTTATAAACCATACTCACTGTGTACAAACACACTCACAGCCACTATTCAATATATGTCAATGTCAATATATTATCAAAAAAAAAGTTGCCAATAGAGAAAGTTGGAACCAACCTCCCAATCCTCTATAGAAAGTGGTTGACCTTTGCCAGTTCCTTGCTGTTGTTGCTGCTGCTGCTTTTGTTCAGATCGGGCTGGGTAGGAGGCCGTCGCAGAGCCCTAAAACAGGATTCCATGCACATATAATAAGCCAGCAGAATAGGACAATAGTGTAAATAATAAAATTCAGCAAGATAAAAAAACACACGAAGTATTCCAGAATGAAAATCAGACATTAATAATTATATTAATTAGGTTAATTAGAGTGATTAGTGCTTAAAATGGATAGGATTATAAGGATTATACATACTTCAGGCATCGATGTCTGAGCTATATGGATCATAACTGATGTGAAATGAAGCAAGTATTAAGCAATGAAGCTAGCAGTGTGTGCAGTCACAATGATCACCACATCCAAAAACTGAGTTCTCTTCGTCAGTGGAGTAGATCCTCGTTGTGTTTATAAACCAATTGCCTTCTAAATGGGAGAATACATTAAGGTAAATGGCTCCCGTGGCCTAATTACGATCAGCTCAGTTTAACCATGTGACGGCAGGCGCCATCCGCCTTCTGGATACAATTGTGCGCACTGTCTTGGTATTTCCGGCATGTGGAGTACGGTGGGAAAGACGCAACCTGGAATATGACAACAAACTGTGGAATACGTCCAGTAGTGAACTTCTACACAGATTGCAGTGTCGGGAATTTGGAGAAGTTTAAACGTAAACTGCCACAAAAATTAACGCCGGCGATCAATAAAAACAATATAAGTGACAGCTAAAAAGATATTGACAACCGCTCATGGTCACAATAACCGAAGATGAATAGTGAAAAACTCTAAACGAGCCCAGGACTAGACCATTATTATATAGGGAGAACAAACATACCACTTGCACGATGAAATTATTACATATAATATGTTACCTCCGATAAGCAGTGTTAATCAGCAGAATGAATTCGACAAAGACAGAATTTAAAGAAGCCAACTATAAAAGTGAGTACGTATCGTAAGCCCCGCCTTAAGACATAACTATGACATACTAGTACCTATTTCAAAAAGAAAACAAATCATGGCCAGGTCACACTATCTGACAATGAAAACATTGAAAGTACCGCTACAAGGTCAGAGGTCATAATAGGGCCACGGGGTTAGTGAAACATTAAACGGCATAAAATAGTTACTTTTGATTCTTCGAGGAATTCTTCTTGGTCTTCTTGGTGTTTCATGATTGCTTGAAGCATATCATGCAATGTCGACACAGGTAAATTAAATCACAAATCCGGGAAATTAAAGTAAACTGACGGACAGTCAGACCGCCAGCAGAAAAACACCGACCGTTCCCCAACTCTACCACATATAACAACTGTTTTGATTGGCTCAGTGGTTACACCAATGTTTTTCCCGTAGTCATCGAGAGATTTATTTCAGAATCGTACTTTAAATGCCCATATGAGTATTTACGTACACACCGGCCCTATACAATAGGTCTATGGTGCTTTTTATCAGCAACTCATTGATCCGATATCGAACGTATGGTCGTTTCATTGTTTCTTTTAAACAACAGCGACAGACAGGTTTTATAGTTCGCCACATGGGGGCGCTCTGCGGATCAACAAAAAAGTCGATGGCTCCGACTGAAGAGCAATTTAAAATATATGTATGTAAACCATTCCTTATTTGAATATTTATTTAATCCATGCTTTGAAATGGTGGCGCCATTCATGACAACCGTTAATTATATTTATACTAGATGAAATTCACGAAAACTTTGCTTAGACTTTGTATAGATATAATGCCTTTGCAATTCCCACTACCAACTTGAAACAGAAAAGGCGTCACATTACAGACCCATTTTTAACAAATTCAAATTTAATTTACCGCTTTGTTCGCCTACTATCTTTGCATTTTAAATTTTGATAATGTTATATTTAGTACACTTACAAAAACACAAATCAAGTACTATTAGGATACGTTATTATATAACCTATAATATTCTAATGAATTGAGTTTAAATTATTACTGTGCAGTCATCCGTACATTTTTAATACCAGGCCCACGTTATTAAATGAAGCACTATTTGTAAACATCGTTTCAAGCAGCATGTGTATTGTATATTACCAACCTAGATGTCAGCATTTTACTGGACTGTTTGGAGGTACATGTACCAATGTATGTGACAGTTTAATTACTTGTCACTGTTTGACTAAACATAAATGTAACATGTTTCCGATGTCAAGAGAAAGCCAAGAGACTGCAGCAATGACGCTATATCATCCAAAACTCTTCTTCTCAAAAATTTTACCAAAAATGTGCTTTTTCCACACCAAAATTAGCCCTTTTAGTCATGTTAGACCGACAATTGCTCATAACATGAACGATCTTCTGAGTTTGCCCCCCCCCCTGTCCGGACGCCCTCCACATCGATATAATTTCATTCACAGTCTCTCTCTCTCGACTGTGCCTTTCACATTGAGAATCGCAAGTCCAGACATATTATATCGACGTACGCTCGTAATACAGATATCCCGTATGTCTATCGAATCGTCGACAGCCATTTGTCACGGAATCGCTGATACGCATATGTATTTATGTTAGTGTTATTACGTATAGTGACGTAAAATTACTACAACCAAACCGTGCTGAATAGGAGTGGCATGCTTTATTTCAACAGAACATTTTTTAACGTACAACCATGTCCTACCTTCTATGATGCAACGAACTCGTAAAAGGAAACATATTATCCAAACGACTCGCGTCCTTGAAAATCATATCGCCCTTGCATTTACAACCATTGGGAGTAAACTTGGCCTTGGTGTTTTTTTGGTCAATTTTGTATATAATATATTTATAAAAAGTACAGCTTTCCTATTTTCGCTGTACACTTCGTCAAAAGTGTTTATTTTACCCTCGGGCCAATAAAAGAATAGACTAAGTTTTAATCTTTCTTTTATTTGATATTTAACACTATCGTCGCAAGTTCCTCATACCGAATGTCTGCAAATAAATATCGGCAGTCTGTTTTGAGGCAGCAAATCTATAATTGACAATTGTAGGTATCAACCACTAGAATGCTGAATTAGGCTTGAAGTCAGAACTTCCAAGTCTCTGCTCAATACCACATACCATTCATAGATCAGGAATGTGTAATATGTTGGAGCTGGCGACGACGTAATGCCATGATATGAAGATTCATATTCAGACTTAGATTCAAGTCTTCGATATATTGGAACGTATCCATTGCCATGTGACGCATAGACCAAACACAATGTTATTGTCATAATACAATTTTTGCCAAATGGATCTCCAGCATACTAGCGCCAATCTATTCTTACCAATTGCAGGGAAGTGCGTCCAATGGTTACTACTGTATAATGACGTGCTGCCTAAATCATTGTCCATATGTGACATCCATACTTCGAATATTGTTCATATTTGAATGAATCATAGTAGTTACTATTCAATGTATCGTCCCCTCTTGCATTGACTAAATAGTTTGGTACAGTCCATATCACCATGAACTGATTGACTAACAAAGTTTACATATTATATCCGCTCTCGAAAATTCTCCCATTTTGCACAGATGTATTCAATTATGTAAATTTATAACTATTAAAAATAGAATACATTTTGCAATACCACAGAAATTCATTGATTATTCAAAGACATAAACCATTACTGCATTCAGCCTTTAGTCACTCTACACACTATTTATGTGCTTATGGACAAAAGTATACCACTTGTTCGCATAGCATAGGATATGTTCACCAATAGTTACCCAACAAAACAGGGTCCACCCGTCCTCATAGAATATGTTCACCAATAGTTACCCCAACAAAACAGGGTCCACCCGTCCTCATAGAATATGTTCACCAATAGTTACCCCAACAAAACGGGGTCCACCCGTCGTCATAGAATATATTCACCCCAAGTTACCAAACAAAACAGGGTCCACCCGTCCTCATAGAATATGTTCACCAATAGTTACCCCAACAAAACAGGGTCCACCCGTCCTCATGGAATAAGTTCACCAATAGTTACCCCAACAAAACGGGGTCCACCCGTCCTCATAGAATATGTTAACCAATAGTTACCCATCAAAACGGGGTAGACCCGTCCTCATAGGATATGTTCACCAATAGTTACCCCAACAAAACGGGGTCTATCCGTCCTCATAGAATATGTTAACCAATAGTTACCCCAACAAAACAGGGTCCACCCGTCCTCATAGAATATGTTCACCAATAGTTACCCCAACAAAACAGGGTCCACCCGTCCTCATAGAATATGTTCACCAATAGTTACCCCAACAAAACAGGGTCCACCCGTCCTCATAGAATATGTTCACCAATAGTTACCCCAACAAAACAGGGTCTATCCGTCCTCATAGAATATGTTAACCAATAGTTACCCCAACAAAACAGGGTCCACCCGTCCTCATAGAATATGTTAACCAATAGTTACCCCAACAAAACAGGGTCCACCCGTCCTCATAGAATATGTTCACCAATAGTTACCCCAACAAAACGGGGTCCACCCGTCGTCATAGAATATATTCACCCCAAGTTATCAAACAAAACAGGGTCCACCTGTCCTCATAGGATATGTTCACCAATAGTTACCCCAACAAAACGGGGTCTATCCGTCCTCATAGAATATGTTAACCAATAGTTACCCCAACAAAACGGGGTCTACCCGTCCTCATGGAATAAGTTCACCAATAGTTACCCCAACAAAACGGGGTCCACCCGTCGTCATAGAATATATTCACCCCAAGTTACCAAACAAAACATGGTCCACCAGTCCTCATAGGATATGTTCACCAATAGTTACCCCAACAAAACGGGGTCTATCCGTCCTCATAGAATATGTTAACCAATAGTTACCCCAACAAAACAGGGTCCACCTGTCCTCATAGGATATGTTCACCAATAGTTACCCCAACAAAACGGGGTCTATCCGTCCTCATAGAATATGTTAACCAATAGTTACCCCAACAAAACGGGGTCTACCCGTCCTCATGGAATAAGTTCACCAATAGTTACCCCAACAAAACGGGGTTCACCCGTCCTCACAGAATATATTCACACCAATAATTACCCAACAAAACGGGGTCGACCAGTCCTCATAGGATATAATCACTCCAATAGTTACCCCAACAAAACGGGGTCCTCCCTTTTTCATAGAATATATTCACACCAATAGTTACCTAACAAAACGGGGTCCACCAGTCCTCATAGGATATGTTAACCAATAGTTACCCATCAAAACGGGGTAGACCCGTCCTCATGGAATAAGTTCACCAATAGTTACCCCAACAAAACGGGGTCCACCCGTCCTCATAGAATATGTTAACCAATAGTTACCCATCAAAACGGGGTAGACCCGTCCTCATAGAATATGTTCACCAATAGTTACCCCAACAAAACGGGGT